CACTATAATAGTACTTATACTGGATGTGCCGGAAACGCTCATACTAATATGAAAATATTCTGAATGGAATGGAGGTATCATAATGTCATTTTATAACCGTACTAGAATTAGATTTAGAATGGTGAGAATTTATCAAAATATAAACAAATGGGAAATAAACCACCACTTTTTGCTGTAAACATTGTAACATTTTGTTCTTGCGCCGCTGTACCGTAGCAACTCTCTCTTACGCTATATCCAGAATATTTAATTAATGTTTTTCAAATCGCAGTTCAATGATCAGCTTGACGGTACCCAGTCGACAACGAGATATTTCTACAGGCAGTCACAGTTGTCTCATTCATTGTGCCGATAGGACAGCATATTTTGAAGGTGGTATTGGTTCATGGTGGTAAATGCAACTGTTACAGTAACTCTGGATGAACATCATTTGTAACATACGATTGAGTGAATGATATTTATGCATAATGTGCGAGTCGCCACAGTGTGACAAAACAGGGGCAAAGTTTATTATCGTCCTATTCTACATCACTGCTAAAGCTTCAATGATAGATGCAGTAGAAATCCTGGGGTGAACCTCGAGTGGAACATTTGCTTGAAGTTTCATTAATATAATCTTTGCGAAACTATTTGTAATTGGTCCCAGGGTTTGGCTGCCATCTTTGATTTATTCTAAGCAGTAGTTTTTTTTTTACTGATGTCCCATTCATCAGATTATTGTGAAATTTACCATGTTGCATCTCTATACCAAACTTCTTCAGACAGCAAACAAACAGTTCATTTACATGATTTGGTGGCCATCCTGGATTTTCGCCTAAAACGGCTGAAAGGTGTGGGAATTTATGTTTCATGAGTGCTTTCACTGGATATTTGACAAGTAGCATACATGGCCATAGATTCCGACACGAAAAGTAAAATAATTTCTATCAGTCATCACTTTGGCCGTCTTCTTGGATAGTTAGCAAAAATGGCCAAAATGTGGGCATTTATTTTACCTGAGTGCCTTTTGTGTGTATCATGCTAGACCAAAGCTTCTTCTGAAAAATAACTTAGATCATACACGTGATATGGCCGCTATCTTTTCTATTGACAGCCTTCAAAGCTTCTCTGCTGGCTTTAATTTGTCTAATATTACTATAAAGCACATTTCAATATATGCGTTTGTGTTCCTGTTTGTGATCAACATACTGGGAATTATAAATTATGATATAGAATGGATTTGATGTTATTTCTTCATTATTACTTCTTGACCGAAAAAAAAAGTATGATCTCCTCCTGGCACCTATACCTACAACGTCGTCCGGTATGTAATAACATTTAAACAGCATCATAATTATCGTAATATTCACACTCAAGTCATTGACAATGTCTAATTGACTTTATCGCAATCTGAGACCAAAAGACAACAACAAAACTTGAAAATAGTAAAAGTGTACAGTATCTAAGTACGTGCTTCTACGACCACTAAAACCATCTGTGACATTACAAAACAACTATTGCAATTTGCATAAAAGTTAGTGCTGTGTCTCTTAACGCTATCCTGTTAACAATGTTCATGTAATAGAAGAATCCAGAACGCAGGGTGTTTTATATGATGAAACACGTGACAGAGTAAACCAAAGGTATGTGCAGACAATAAGTCTACTTCATATAATTTAAATACCGGCGTCCCTTCTCGGTCGGAAGTCATCACATTACTACCGAAGTGCATAGGAACATTGGGGGATGGCAGGGAGTTTTGACGCCACTCTCACATTTTCTTCCACATAAAACACCAGTTTCGCGTTATAGCCTTCTCCCACCTCTGCCACCGATAAACAAACTAAACAGTCACGTATGTTTGTACTTCATTAGCTACTACGTCACTGTGCGAAGCTAGCATTACTGATAGGGGTCAGTAATAGGTTTAATTTTACGATCCTTCCTTTTTAGTGATTGTAAGAGAATTTCATGTATCACACGTTCTCTGTCTCTGGCGGTCTTTTCAGATATTCTTTTCGATTCACCACATTCACTGCGTTTCAAATAGGACTCGTCTGCTTCATATTTCTCATGTCGTCTTCGTCTTTTTTCACGTTTCAGTGGATTGAGGTTTTTCCTTTTCGAGTCTTTGATATTCTTCGCACGCCGATGAGTTGTTTTCTTTCCAGTGGATATACAAACCGGGGTTTCGTTTTTGAAGACAACCGTGTTATCTACCGCTGATGGATCCGTTTTGGTAGTAGCTCCTTCATCCATTGAATCAGAGATTATACCATTCTTCACACCTTTTCCTAATATGGAAACAAGAAAATTCATCAAATAAATCTTAAATTCGAATTATGTGTACTAATAAGTTTAACAAAAATGAAGATTAAATACCTTTTTTGTGCATCCTTGTCATTATCAGGATGAAGCCAACTGTCAGCCAAATCAACGCTGATGCAGAGATGAGAAATGCGAAAAGAAGAAACCAGAACACAGATGTGCGTTCAAATGTCGTTGGAACATCACCTAAATTACGTTAAATATAAACAATTTATGAATTACATGAGTCACTAAAATAAGATCAAATTAACTAATTAATATTTGCAACGTTTTCTGTCTATTTTATATAGCAAACTTACGTGTCATTGCAATCTCTAATGGACCAATTTGACATGTGCGTGACTGGCTATACGTGGCATGATTTGATGTACACGTGTACACTTTCCCTTCCAAGGTACGAGAAATAGACACAACAACATCGAGACGTTGGGAGGTTCTTGTATTCAGCATCACGCCCTCTACAGAATCCTCTCCTGTACTCCACTGTAGCAATGCTGGGGGCGCACCACCTTTGGACTGACAAGTCAAGGTAAGAATGTCGTCTTCAACAAGGTAGTCATGAGATGTGGTGCATTCTGGGGAATTGTCCTCAGGTGGGACTAGAAATAGAAACGCATTCATATTATTTGAAAACAACACTGCGCAAAATATAATATCTCCCACAGTCGAAACCACCGGTTATGGGAATGATAAAAAACAGTTTCGTTTCGCAATAACAAATCCCGTGATTACAATTTACCGCTTCGTTTGTCTGTAGGATTCATGTTTCATAGTTTGTCTGTTTCTACACGCGAGTTTCATTTCAAATATGTAAATTAGTGTTTATATTCATATGCAAACTTGTTCCAGTTTAATACCCATACGTATGGCCTGCATCTTGTATAAATTAATTACACTCGGCGTTCAACTACTTGACATCAACGATGGCCGTAAATGTTTGTCACACTGTACCATTACGTACGGATACTCATACGAAGGAAATGAACGAACTGTTCCCGTTTCAGTACATAGTTCCAACCATGCCATATTTCCAAATGCATCTTCTTGCCAGTAATCTGTTCTGATTTCTTGGAATATGCAAGGTGTTTTGACTTTTACTGGTTTTGTTGTTCATTTAGGTTAAATCGTTTTGGGGTTATCTACACCAACATGAAAAACCAAATGAAATATGTATGCAACTTACTGCTGTACTCCAACGGTGCAACGTCACATGTCAGTGCTTCATTCACTTTATAATGATATAATGAGCATGTAAATAAAACATCAAAAAGGTCACTAGTGAGTGACATTGTAAGTTGAGTATTGACGGTACTTCCGGCAACGGTTGTGGTTGACTCCAGCTCAGCATTGTCCCCGTGTCTCCAATGTAACGTCGGCAATGGCACACCTCCCACGGACTCGCATAATAGAATTAGTATATTATTTTCGCTGATTAGCCTAGATGAACACAGTGGGTACCTAGAATCTGGGGCGGTGTAAATATCTGTAGATAAAATAATAGTGTGTGTTTTCTTGTCTGGTTTTCTAATTTACATTGCGACAAATTATTGCGAACCCGTAGCGATTGAATTACCTACCGCAACTGGCTTCATCAGTGCCGTCCCCACAGTCGTCGAAACCATCGCAAAACCAGTAAATTAGAATACAGATACCGCTATTGGTGCATTTAGATTTCCCAGTAGGACATGCTACGAAACGAACACAATGATGAATACTCACATTGTTGAAGAAACTTGAGCTGACAAACTAACTGTCGAAGTTTTATAAGTCTCAATAGATCAGTTGACGCATGCGCGAGATATATTGGTCTCAAATAAACAAAGATGGCGTCTTTGACTGTTGCGCAGATCAACGAGTACAAACTGCGAAGTTACCAAGCTTTGATTAGGTATTTTTAGGTGATTGGAAGGTATCGAAGGAGTCACTGGCGGTAATTAGGACAGGTCTCATACTTGTGATTTCCATTAGAAAAGCGCACTGGATTGTGGGAAAATCAATGTTTATCAACACAAATGTCGCACATGCGCAGCGTGACTACTACGTGCCAGAATTTGATACGTCGGGGAAAAAAACCTGCCGACAAATAAGCTGCTCTCTGATTGGTCTGTTCGGGTTAATAGTCGTGTATACAATCGTGTAAACAGCTTACACCAATAGATATGCATTTGAGAAAACTCACTGCATGTTTCGTCCGTGGCATCTCCACAATCGTCCATTTTATCACAAACCCATTCAGACGCCACACATATACCATTACCGCACTGGAATTGGTCAGTACTACATTCTATAAATATAAATTAATTTGCTGCATTACTTAAAAAAATAATGAGATCGGAGTAAAGTAAAGATCGGAGTTGTGGTACGAATAACTCGGCAATCTGTCGCCTTTCTTACCACATTGTTCCTCGTCTTCACCGTCAGTGCAATCAATAAACCCGTCACACGTGTGTATTTGCGATATACAAATACCATCGCCACATCGGAAATGTTCCTCGGGACATTTCACTACAATAAAATAGAACATTTTAAACGGATTATTCATTATGCCAAAATATAATCATAAACGTATAAAAAGTAGCTGCTAACATAATATTAAGTAAAGCAAGTAAATAATACCGAATAGATTGCAAGGTAAATACAATGTTATTTACCGAGTGCGAGACTCGATTCCACGCTTGAGTACGGCACTAAATCACGGAACGTCTGTCCTTCGGCCACCGGTTATCTCTCCTATATCAAGCTTATTATGTGCATGGATCATCAAATCATTGCACGCCGATCCACGACGCGCAACAAATAACCCTTGCATGATTCATTATGTAGGCTGCACAGAGATTTGAGATATTCGCTTGACATGCATCTATTGGTCATTTTTTAAAAATGAGATTAAGTTGCTTTCAATTAATAATTTATCATGTTTCCTATCACATTTCGTAGAAACTAATGCAAACTTTTATGAGAACTGATGTTTTCATTTGGGACACTGTAGTAACACGTGATATTTTTACTTCTATGCCACACAGTGGATAACAGACATGAATGTATGACAATATTTGTCATTGTCTTCTAAGGCTGAAATTCGTCGTCAGCTTGGGGACGTTTCGCTTGAATCGCTACTAAACATTAATAAATCATAACTTACAAATGGTACTACATCCGATTTCATCTGAGTCGTCGCCACAGTCTGAGACACCATCACAGTACCAATCTTTTGAAATGCATTCAGCATTGTCGCATGTGTATTCATAGTACATGCATACAGCTGTACGGAAGAATGACAAAGAGGGGGAATTTACAATTTGGTTTACAATATGGTTGGTTGAGACTCGGACATGGAAGGTACTAACGTTAGTACCTTCCATGGTTTAGATTACATGATCGATATCTATGACACGAAAGGTTAAGATATCTACATATATCACGTCATGAGATATCAACATATATCACGTCATGAGATATCTACATATACCACGTCATGAGATATCTACATATACCACGTCATGAGATTTCTACATATATCACGTCATGAGATATCTACACATATCACATCATGATATATCTACACATATCACATCATGAGATATCTACATATATCACGTCATGAGATATCTACATATATCACGTCATGATATATCTACATATATCACGTCATGAGATATTTACATATATCACGTTATGAGATATCTACATATATCACGTCATGAGATATCTACATATATCACGTCATGAGATATCTACAAATATCACGTCATGAGATATCTACTTATATCACGTCTTGAGATATCTACATATTTATGAAGTCGTAGCATATTTACATTACACGGTGACACAACGCCATTGCGTACTGATATAACTATATCACGTGGTGACTGGTATACGTTGCGTTATACCATCATTACTACATGTCGTAATGTCTATATCACATGACAACTTACTGGTACATGTATATACATCACGACATGACATATCCACATCTTGTCATGACATACCTCCACCATGCCATGCATTTTCTGAGAATATGTTTGTTTTGTTTACATTCATTTTATGGGAGTTTGAGCTGGCCAACATATGTTTTACTGGCCAGAATTATATTAACATATATGTGGTTTCAAAAATTAAAGCATTATTTTCTATCTTTTCACCCAAACTCTAACATTGTTGTCTATGGAGTTCTAATTTGTGGAACGATACCTTCTTCAATTCGATGATCATGTCTCAATGCTCGGCCATGGCATCTCATTGCATCAACAATTCGATTATATCGGAAGACTACGTCATAATGATACATCCACATCACATAACGCTATCTTTCTCACATAGACGAAAACCGACATACACACGTTAAGTAATCGGAGAATATATAATATTATTATGCATCTGTCACCGTAACGCCATAAGTATTTTACGGGGCATTTTCATACTACCATTTTAGGAAATGCGAATTCCAAATATGGAATGATTACGCGCGTGCGCGTACGCGTCCTCTAATAATAACAACAAACATGGCTGCCATCAGAGTTTGACCAGACTCCACACATAGAAGTTCGCTGATTATGTTCTAAAAAATGTGTATTTCGGCATTCCCATGATGTATCCTTGGAAGGAAAAGATTTATAATAATAAGGTTATTACGAGAATACCTCACAGTATGCTCTCAGACAGTACGCCGCGCATCGATCTCCGCTGCGCGTCGGTCGATACTCAAGTTGTACTGTCTTCGTGAATATTTCATCTAGTTAGATACATCGCTGATATTACGATGTTGCGTGTAACACCATAACACCATATTTAGCCTAATTTAAATAGTTTATGTGATGCCTTCTTGAGGATGAAACAACGAACATTTAGAAAGGTCGTACACAGTTCACGGCAAGTAAAGAAGACCTGGACCAAAACAATCGTAGATGTAGATATTCACGAACACGCCACAGATGAACGCCTACAAGTAATTTAATGTAACTTTTCGATAAGTTTTATAATATAGTAAGGACTGAGTAAATACAACATGTATATGAATAGCCATATAGTCTTTGAAAAAAGGCCGTGCGAAACATTTCTGATATCGAGACTGCATCGCAATATCAGCACACAGCTAGACATTTAAAATTGGTATTCCACAATGATGTTAAACACAAAGCGCATTGAAAACTTTAACATACTAGAAGCGGGGAAAAAAAAGTATTTGGCTAATACGTTGATTGATACAACAATGCCTATTTATCTTACCTTCGGTTTGTTCGACAAATCTAAGAAGGCATAAAAATGATAGGAGGAAAACATATTTCTCACAACGCAGCGGCAACGTAGCCATCTTGCCATGGGTAACGTCGTCGCTACACTAGGCAATCAAATACGAACAGTCTTTATTATGTAACAAAGGCCACTCGGACAATGCCCGTCATTGAGGTTTATAACAACCGACAGCGGATTGTATTGTAATGTGGATAAGTTATTGTCATTAAACACCAGCAATGCAAGGATATAAACAACGCCAGATCGATCGATATATCAGTCAATACACATCTGAAAACGTCATACACACTAATACGGCAAAGAGAGTCGTACAGGGGTTATTATGTATATCAGGCATATTATCACCAGCAGCGTTCTATTAACGTGCTTCATTGCTAACGTGTTGTTTTAAGAAACCATGTGTGAATATATGCTAGATTCGTTATTTACTATTACAGTTACTACTACAAAATATACGGTTAAAACACAATGTATTCGAGGAATGACAGATATTTATACTGATCTTAAGTTTGTGAGATCGGAGCTAGTCTCAGCGACACCAGCTTTCCCATTTTGATTTAATCATAGTGTCAAAATACGTACATGGTTTATCAAGTTAATAAAGGTCTTTCTGCTACGTGTGTCTGAACAAAGTCGATTAATTTAACCGAATAAAGACTATGGCATTTCTAGCTGAACACCGCTGTTCAGAAAGCACGACTACAGCAACACAGGCAACAACACTTCCCGAAAAGTTCCATTTTCTATCCCCCAATATATGCATTTACAAGTTTAGTGCGCCCTCACTTGGATCGGTCATTAATATGATGAAATTATAATACCGTGTGCTGCTCTTTATTGAAATTCCGCAATATCATTGGTCGGTCGGTACCACGTGCAAACCTGCTATCAGAAGATAAATAGGTAGTTCTCAAAGTTAATGCGTCACTCATCTCAGTATTTAATTGGTCCCCATATTTGTATGAGGCGTTCATTAAACAACAATGACCCCACCATTAATCTTCCAGGTTAAGGAATCCTGGTCATTTTCATATAAAAATATACTTGCATGTCATTTCCTAGTATACTTCTATGTGTAACTGAAAAGCAAACGACATCGGTGGGCTAAACGCGCTGTCTCATTCTTAAGCTACCACCGCCGTATAACTCATTTTTCGACAGTATGGAGCATTATTATAATAGAAATGAAGATTTCAGCTATGTCCATGAATATCGCTCAGACAGGATGTTTGCTCGAGTAATGGGCTCGACTGCACTATTGTGCACATCTCGTCTTAGGCCTAATAATGGTTAGCGCGTCGTCATTTTTTCCCTAAGTAATTTATCTAGTAACTCCAAAAACGGGCAATGTGATAAACATACAAATACCTCTTACTTGGCAATACGTTGTTAAAAACGTACTTTTATTTTTCGAAATCCAACACTGTCACATACGTGTTCTTTCTCACAAGAACACAACCAAGAAAGACAATATACATGAAACTTATTTTATAATACTAATTTATCAGCTATCGCTATAAAGTTACAGTGTTCAGAGTCAAATAAAACACGCCTCCGTCGCTGACATCTCATTCGGCAACCAGTGCAACCCGACAGAACTTCTGAGTTTCAGTTTCACGTACAGCAGCGTCGATATCTTGTAATGGGAATGGCTGGCTGACTAGCGTCTCGTACGGGTACTTGTCTGCAGTCTTCGCTATGAACTCCACAGATTTCTCCAAATCCCACGGGGCATAGTTATGTACACCTAATAAGTGAGAGAAAAAAAATCGATCACGCATGCGCAATAGCTCCAAACATGGACATTGCGTTGTACATGTGCTGCGTGCACACTGACTACAACACGCAATACATTTAGATCATTAGATTTCGAGTCTGGTCGGATCAATACTGATTAATACCAATACCACACCTCTTATCGTCAGACACTTGACAATTATGGATTCCCCGGTGATGTCTAATTGTGAGAAAGGATGTACCATGCCAATAAACAGGTACGTCCCACCAATTTTCACCAGGTCCATACCGTCTTTGACAACCGCAGCTGCGCCACACACCTGTAAAGACAAAGAAGATATCTCGAATGACCGAAGATTCAACAACACTGTTGGTTCGGTGACCAAGATAAAAAATAATGGTTATATTCACATTACAAAAATGTTTAAGGGCCTTCATGAATCTGTAGAGATAATGATTTGTTGTGTTCACAGACATGGTAATCGTTGAATACGTGATCAATCTAATTTCACAAAGCGTACGAAGTTTCAAATGGTCTATCAACGCTGATAACGGTCCAACACACTGCGAATTAGTTTGGATAGAAGAAGCTAGCTAATTATCTAGAATAAACACAATTTCTGAAGTGATTTGAAAAACAAACAAACAGAAGATAGCTGATATGGTCAACTCACTTCAATAATAACATCAAATTCACATGATCCAGGGCATCCTTCAGCACCTACAAAATAACAACAATTGTTAGTCTCTTCTAGGGCAAGTCCTTCCGATTAATAGTAAGGACAATCTTTCCAGGAAAGCAAATCATAATATTAGTTTTTACTGGAATGAATGGAATACATGCATGCTTACAAAATCTATGTTGTCATAAATGGGACGCGCATGCGCAGTCGTGTAACTCTTACCTTTATCGTATGGTATTGCACCGAATTCTGATACTTGTGACAATCTGTCCGAGTTTATATCTGCGCAGTAGACCTTCGCGCAGCCTGCTTCTTTGAGAAGAGCACAGCCATAGAGACCAAGCATTCCGGCACCCTTGTTGAAAGTTGGATAATTGATAATTTTAACAACATGAAACTGAACAAATATATATCTAATAAAACTATTAGACGAAGTTGCTAAACTATATTTTAATAGATTTAAATTCTATCAGTTTTCAAGAAATTCTGCTATTATATTAAACGTATAGTGCACTCCTTATCTCAAAAAAACATGTCAGATCTCACGAGAACGTCTGACGCAGGATGGCTATGTAGGACGTGAAAGAGGTGCTAATACACAAGCCAAAAGTCGTGGTAAAACAATAAAAGCCAAAGACTGTCGAAACATCGCTTAATTGAAAGCATCTAACTGGGATTATTATAATAATAATAATAATAATAACTCTATTTAATTAAGCGCAACAATTCCAACATATGAAGATCAAAGGCGCTGATACAATAAACAATCAGTCAAATATTAAAAGCACATTTAAATAAGTGCGTTTTCAGTCTGGATTATATATATAAAAAAACGAATTGATCATAATCACGATCAAATATCACACTCATTAGCGCTCACCTGAACCAGAACCAGTTTTCCATTCCAATCATCAATACACGATACAGCGCTCACCATGGTTGCCAGGGCGCAGTTAACAGGCGCCGCCATTTTGTCCGAGACGTTATCGGGTATCTTGACAATGGCAGTGCCGGATTCGAGTACGATATGGGAACCATAGCAACCACTCAAAGGGCACTCATCAGACAACGTACGAAATCCGTGCTGAAATTAAAATAAAATATAATAATGCGAGTTTAATGCGGAGATTTAACCTGGACAGTAAGTGAAACCGAACTGTGTGAATACCAGCCAAGCACACACGTTTTTGAGCTACAGACAAACATTCCTAGTGGACAGTCTAGCTAAAATGCATGATTGTAAGTACTATTACCACTTGTTAAACAAAATTAAGCAACTATACAAATAAATGTTAACAGCAGATTGGTTTGATTGCAAGCATCGAAGAATTGAATGGATAAGAAAGATACCATTAGATGATTAAAAAAACTGGGTATCAACTAACAAGCTTTGCATGTATATAAACGATATCCAGTATATTGATGCCTGAGAAGATTACAGTGTGTTCAATTTCGGTAAGTGGGTGGGCTAAGTTGAATGAGTAGTTAAAGCGGGGGAGTCGTCACCTGCGCATGCGTCTGATAGCCATAGCTTGTCATTGTTTACAAACAAGCGTCTACCCATGAGCCTTTCCGTGTTTAGCTTGTGTTGTTATCGTCGCTTGGGACTCAATTCCCGCGCGTGCGCAATTGACGACCCTCCCGCTTTAATGCACACACACACACACAGGAGTTGCATGAACGATGTTAGCATTTTACCTACTAAAAGCAGCTTGCTCACAATAATAACTAAAAGCAGCTTGCTCACAATAATACGACTTACACCTACTTTAAATAGAAAACGACATTTTTGGGGTATCTTGGCTCTGCAAATGTCGCATTTCATGCACGAGTTCATAATACTGAACGTTACTCTGTCACCGGGTTTTAAATCCAAGTCTTTCCTTTTGTGCTCCACAATAACACCGACAGCCTCGTGACCTAGAATGCTGGTACAGATAGAAACATGTGATCGTTCATATACATGCGTTGAGAATATGAATTACCCGTTGACAGTAGAGGGAATGAGGGCTTTCCAGTAAACGATGTTGTTGCGTATCGTCACGTGCCACCCCCTGAACCTTCGATGTGGGTTGCCACTATTCAGTATCAAGTAGCTTTAACAAAAGCTGTGAGGTAGTTCAATTTATTGGAATTGCGTTTCCATAAACCGATAAAAAAAACACGTCATTTAATTAGGGTCACACGTGGCGCAATATCGAGTATTGAATCATTCTACGTCGGCTGCATCAAACGAACGAGTTGTAACAGCGTGTCACCAGAGGGCAGCAAGCGGATGGGGGAATGTCATTTGTATGAAAATTCGCACAAAACGTACCTGGGAACATTTGCCTTCCTTCGTCCTTTAAGTGTATGCATATCAGAGCCACATATTGTGGACATCTTTAGACGGAGCAGCGTCTCACCATCGTTGATACGTGGAATGTTTACAGTCTCTACTTTTATGGGAGGGGAAACTTCAGTCCCATAGAACACAGCTCGTTGAGCAGTTGACATCATTTAACACTGCAGTTCAATCCTATAAGATAAACTAAGAACCACACTATGAAAAACACGATATCTCAAGTTTATTTTATATTAACCGTCACTGTCTTTGAGGCATTATAACTATGAACGATATAAATAAATACAATGGTAACCAGGGTAACGCCTAGGGCTGTGCCAGCGTGAAACGTTCTTTAAAATGGCAAGGCATATAGGAACAAACAGGTACTTTCGCAAATGATCAGATACTGAATTTTTAGGTTGCTGCTGTGCTTTGAAGGGGAAAGGCGTATGCCCATGTCATTAAATGTTGCATTATTCAACGATGACTCGACAAGGTGGACTTGTACACTCAATTCAAATAGGCAAAACTTGTTTGTTGAATAAAAAGCCAAAAGTAAATTCACTCATATATAGTCCAACACATCGCCAATCTTAAATCTGGAGGGTCGTCACCTGCGCACGCGCGGGAAATGAGTCCCAAGCGATCAATCGATGATAACAACACATGCTGAAGAACGCAAAGGCTCATGGGTAGTCGCTTATTTGTAAACAGGCGTAGGTGACGAAGCCCCCGCCTTAAACTAGTCCAAATTGGTCAATCTATGTAATGACAGGAATTAATAATTTAATAAAACTTTTACTAATAGATTAACAGGTGTCAATCAAGCTGAATTCACTAAATATCTATTTGGAATTTTAGGATTAGTTGGAGCACAAGTCACGAGGTGACAATTTTATATTATGAGACTGTCCTACGATTTAACATTACATCACCATGTACAATTAGTTTTTTTTACGAACCAGCTGATCTTTGATTCTCAGAGAACTATCCCCTGTGTTTATGTTTACATTGCCCCGTTAGTTCAAATAAATTGTGTTTGTTTTTGTTATTCCAATAAAAAAAATGCCCGTCCATTTTTTGGAAAAACAATGAGATGTTTATTTTGGCTTCGATTTTTAATTTGAATAAACTTACTCAATATATATAATGTAAACAAGTCACGGTTGCGACAAGTTAAAGATTCCTAGCTCCGATTGCGTTGATTGAGTATCCCTGCACACCGTGAATTTGAATTTGGAATAATTTTGGGGCAGCAGAAAATGATTAACACTGGCAGATCCAGAAATTCGGTACGGGGGCGCGCTCCTATTGACTCCCGGCCGGTGGACTTGGTTTGTCAATTGATTTGTATTTTTTGCGGGATGATGGGGAGGGGGCTCCCCCTAAATTCGCGAGTGGTTAGCAAAATTTGGTGACCCACTGGCAATTTCTGCAAGTTAGCATAAACTTGGGACAGTTACGTAATCCTTGCCATAAAGGGCGACGAAAACAATTGAATTCTCCATGAAAAAAATTGTCATGAAAAAAAGTATTGTTAATAAACACTTCTGGATTCATGTGAACGTGACATTTTTTTTTCTCGATTTCAAATGGTTTGGCGAGTACAATTCTGCGGACCTAATTTTGCTATATGTATAGTACAGTTGATGTATAGTTTTAACTCTGATGACGTGTATATTTGCAGTTGAAATTTGCATCGCAAGACGTTTTTTCTTCGTGTCGTGTCATTTCAAAAACAAACAAAGGGCCACCATTGCTGCAGTGCACGTTTAAACCTCATTGCAATCAAATAAGTTAATCTACACTCGTTGTATACCTCACCTGCTAGGACCCACTTCGAACACGTCCCCGTGACGACTGTAAATTCGTTATTAGACAAGGCAGCAAAATGCAAATTTGATGAAGTTACGACTGACAATATAGAACTCGTATGTGACCAAAGAGTAGAATGTTGCGGAGCTGGGGTCAAAGTCAGTCCGACCTTGTGGATAAAATATGAGGAAAGATTAGCTTCAGCCTCTATGCCATCAAG